TGTGAGGCTTTGAAAGCAGTGTGGTTGACCATACCTGATACACTGATCCGTCGCCTCATTCACAGCATGCAGGACCGCATCAATGCTGTTATTAAGGCAGATGGTTACCAAACAAAATACTAGGCTTTTACGAGTAAAATGAGCCATAAACCATTTGATTTAGTCTATTATTGGTGATGCTGCAACTACTCAAAGTTGTAATGGAAATGTTGGTGAGGTGGCTCGTGCCGATGCGCGCCCAGATTAAAGGAAGGTGACTGTAGAAACACTGAATTCCGTGCTTGTACCTTTTCCATTTGCCATGATCAATCTCTGCGATTGGAGTGCAAGTATTCCACGTGCGATGATCCAGCTGCAAGCATACTTCAGTTCAAAGGGCAACCCGCAACAACACTGAACGAACAGGACTACGCAATGACACGAGAGGAGCCGAGGAACTGTAGTATCAATCGACCCAAGCAGTGGGTCGCGTCAGCGATACTCAGTATGATCATCACTCTCAGTTGAGCAACTCAAGCAACCTGAGCAGTGAGGCTGCGTTGGCGATACTTGGCACAAGCAGTATACTCGGTACGAGCAGTATACTTGGTACGAGCAGTATACTCAGTACAATCAGTATACTCAGTACCGAGCGATCTGAGCAATCCTCTGCTCAGTTATATAGCAAGTAGACACGCTGCCCTTATGGCATTGCGTTAAACCTTGTCAATAAACTTTGTTATTGGAATCTCACTTGCTCTCGAGCCAGACAGTCTACTCTGTACTACTCATTGCAACCAGTCGTCACGGTCTTTGACTAGACAACTACCTGTCATGGTATCCTCCACAGATCCCCTGACAATATCCGGATCCGCTCCGTACTGTCCCTGACCATACGCACCAAATCCACAGCATCCTTACATGCATTTGACACTGATCTGACACGTCTCCAATACTGACCCAACTCGACTCCGATACACCCCTGATACGTTCCGTACTGTGTACGCACCAATTCTGTAGCGGTGTGGACAGATGTAGAATACTGATAGCTACGGTAAACAATAACGTAGGACTATCGGGTCGATGGAATACTGCGCTGGATTGCTATCTAGCTAGGAGGAGACGACTATATACCTGACCTGTAACACACTAGTCCAGGGTAGTGGTCAGGGGTATAGTCAGACACTGTACGGACCAACCGATACCGCAACAAATTCCTTAGAGTCCTAATGACTCTCCGATCCCGGCCTGACTCACCTCCAATACCAACCCGATTAGCAATTGCTCTGAGCACAGATGACACCCTACGTATTTATCCTCTTTTCAAGCTTCCTGACTCCTGTTCTGTACATACCGTCTTGTACCTGCTTAGATGCCGTACATAGTAATTGATTTAGACTCTTTTGCGAGTCCTAAAAGGCCTACTTGTAACATCTTTGGACACTACCTGACTATTACAAAGGTTATTACAACCCACCCAGATAGTCTATCCCTGACCACCCAAGCTTTGCTTAGGTGACTGTCAACCCCTACGGCTTTCTGTAACTCTGCTCATCCCCAAGAACCAATCGAATAGTGTCTACGAGCTTTGCTTAAAGCACGAATCGCAACATATTGATGTCCGGAGGCTCAATGAGGCAATCCACACACTTGCAGTACGCATTGACCTTCTTACACATGAGAATCAGGGGCTACAACAGGCTCTTACTCACAAGAAGAGGCACTCAAAGCGTAGCAAACCTCTCCATCTTCAACCAGGCAGTAAGCATGGCAGTGGCCCAGTTTTCTGGTCACCAAGGAAGGTTATGGGGGCACGCATGTGTCGAGCAGCCAATGAGCGTGAGAAGAGAGAGGCACAACTCCAAAAAGCTGAGATGGCTGAGCTGAGGCGTGCTAATAAGCTATACAAGGAGAGGATTGCTCAGGAGAGGCGTGTTGCGTGAGAGGAAGCAAAGAAGGTACAGGAGAAGGAAAAGGCTGACAAAGCAGCTGAGAGAGAGCATCAGAAACAAGCCTGCAACACTGCCAAAGCTCTACAATCATTCCAAAAAGGCAAGCGTAAGGCCTCACAAGTATCCTTACAAAAGAACAAGTGTCAAAAATGTGTTGTTGAGGATGCAGATTGTGCTGAAGCTGTAGAGGCTCACTCAGCTCCCCCGCCCTTCACTACATGCTGGGGCCGCAACGTCACACTTCCAAATAAATATAGATAGGTCAAATTAATTGCAAGCATCACTATACTACTCCACTACAAAATCTCGTAATAAGAGCTATTGTGGGTGGCTCTACAGCCTCATTTTTGTGTGAGCATTGAGGCCGTGTGGCGATCGTTGACTGACTGCGATCGTTAAGTGCACAGACACGGTACACCTTTGGTCTCACCGAAGCTGTTGCAGTAAATGCAATAAGTGAAGGTGTAACTGCGCAGGGCAGTAAGTCAGGGGTGACCGCGCAAAGCAGTAAGATTTGTATATATTGTTGTTCTTCTTGTTCAGTGTTCTCTCACTCGACCTCCAGCAGGGTCTGTTTACATGACGTATTTATCTCGTGCAGTCAAGAGCAGGAGGTGCTTGTTGGAAAGAGCAAGAGCACCAACACACGTGGCACACATGACCTTCATACTCCATAAACCGTCACAGAAGCCCCGCTGACGACCTTTCGTAAGCCCGGCGTACAATGCTACGTAAAAGGGCTTGTTCGACCGGAAATGCTCAGGTGGGATGCGACGTCTGTTATACGCCGAGTGTACTGGCAATGGCATGAGTGGGCTGTAGGGTACGCCCTCAGGAGCGTGTCTATTAGCCGCTTCAGAGGAGACGAGGTGAGCACATCCGTGAATGCTACCAGTCGCATGCTTTTCTAATGGTCCGCGAGCGGTAGGTAGAGCTCTCAAACCGAGGATCGAGCTACCCGCTCTACGAGCTCATCGACAAACCCACCGGTATCGCTGTGTATCGCGATCCGCTTGCATCACTCAAGCAGACAACGAGGACCTTCAGCGACTTTCCAGAGCTTGCTTGCAAAGTCAAGCGAATCTGGTTCCATGGTTTCCACACTGCTGAAACGAACCGCCTGATAGCTGATCTGTTGCGAAGCTGCAATCAGCTTGTCTCTCTGTCGAACCCATGGACTGCAATCAGGTTTCTGGACTCGGAAATATGGCAGATCATAACCACTGGCGGAGGCAGGTCCTTGCAGTCATTGGAGCTCCAATGTGTCCAACCGATGCTCCAGCATGTGGTCGAGGAAGGGAACCACATCACCTTCAATCCGTTGCAGTCAATCGATCTCAGCCTGTTGCGACGATTGAAGATATCCGGCGATACCACGTTTATGCCCATTACTGACGATGACTTTTTTTGCCATGGCTCGCACCACAACCTGTCTGGAAGAGTTTCATGTCACGTGCGTTACGCACACCACCATTGAGGGCGTCATGGCCGTCGCGAAAGCATCGCGAGATACACTTCGGATACTTGAGCATATCTCAGGACCGCAGCAACACTATGTATACCCTCGATCCGGATCTTCGAGCCAATGCGAACATCTTTGCGACACGCTCAGGTCGTTCGCCAGGCTACAAGCCTTGTCTGTCTCACTGCCTTCTGCGTGCGCCAATCTGTTCACTCGCGAAGACGCCAGATTCAGCGGCGATTTGCAAGTGTGCGCGCGGTATATCTGTGAGCATGAAAGTAGCTTCCCAATGTCCTCAATGACAAATGCCCTACAAGCTTTGCTCCGAGCGGCTCGTGGCCTCCTCGTTCGACGAAGCGCGGAAAGCTGCGTGCCTCGACACATCAACGTTGAGGTATTCTTCGCCAGTTACATGTTCGAGCCAGGTTTTGGCTTGGTCCATGGCGAATTTGCTCCGGCGCAAGCCTCGCCCAACGGGCTCTGGCCGACAAACATGAGACCCAGCGGTAACGACCCGTACGGAAGTAACGGCCAAGACGACAAAGATGATGCAAGACCCTTGCAGTGCATCGACGAGGAGGGCTTCCTCATAGGCGTTCATCAAGGGCTGCATCCCATCTTGATATAAGCGCCAGAGCGGCTAAGAGGGCCAAAGCGTGTGTAGGTGATGTTCCCTGTCCCAAGTTTTTCTAGCATCACATCACTGCGGCGACAACGGCGTTGGCCAACAACAGACTGAGCGGTCTTTGAAAATAAGAATGCTAGCCGATCCATCTCATCAACGACCCATCGAACCTCTAAGATATTATTTTTCTAGCCGTAAGGAAACCACCGAACCCATCCTCTTCCGAAGCAGATGGCGAGGATGAGGGTAGTGAGGGCGGACTCGGTTGGGGTGATCGCATTCATGGCTCAGGCTCGTGCTGAACGAGAGAAATGAAGAAGTCCCTCTCGTTTCGATCAAAACCTGCTTGCTCACACGCGTTACGCAGTTCCTGCCTCACAGCCGTAAGTCGCAGTGATACTTCGTTTGCCTGCATACCACCCTCATCCTCTTCTCTCACGGCATGTAACTGAGCCAATCCACCGACGCCACGAATGTTCTTGTAGCGTTCGTCTACATGACCGCTCAGAGTACCCGATTGGAGTGCTGAGTGGCTGTTTCTGTTTACCTGCTTTTGTCACAGCCTGGTGAGGTCTTTGCAGGTTTGCTGCGATTTTGAGCTCGCTTCGCCCCGTCCTCGATCTCGTGAGCCTGTCTTGATTGCTGCATACCTCTAGGTTTATGGTCGCGCCGTGTAGTCTGTTTCCGCATCGTGCTCGATGTCTTGAGAGTTAAGGCGGGTACCGGGATCGCAAGCAGCCACTGAGTCGGCAGAGACACACAACTCGTAAGCCTCCAATAGGTGATACGCAAGCCCTCCTTTTCTTCATACTATTTGCGGGAAGTGTCATGGGCTACACCGAAGGTTTCGACGGAAGTGGCGTGAACAGTACTGTATAGCTGGAGGCCTGTTGACAGACATTCGCAATTGTTGAACCTACGCTTACCGTGTCCGTGCGCGTAATGCGCGGATTCGCGTAATGCGCCGAACCACCAAAATAGGTCCACCAAAAATGAGGCTGTAGAGCCACACACAATGGTTATTATCATGAGATTTTCTGGTGGAGTAGTCTATAGACCTATATGAACAAGTTCCTCACTCAAACTTTTGTGGCACTCTGATTGGGCAGCCGCGGCTGTTGTATTTTGCCGGAGGGGATGGGGAGCGAGGCGCGGCAGCAGCACGACTACGGGCAGCTG